CGTCTTTTAAAATATAATTTAATGTTAAAAGATCAACATTGGCAATATCGAATTCAAGTTGCAAAATCATTTCTTTTGAAAAATTACACAAACTTGATAAGACTTTAAACTAAATACAAAACTCAAAAGGGAAAATTTTATAGAAACTTTCAACAGACTTGTGAATAAGCTGTTGTTCGAAAATCCCAAACACCATAAGAACTTGCATTTGGAAAATATAAAGAATCAATAAAGTCCGATTTGATAAAAATACTTGAACAAATGGGATGAATTTCGATTTGATTTGAAACAAAATTTTCATAGGACTTTTTTATTGTTGAACATGGACATAAAACACTTTTATCATGTTCTGAATATAATTTATTCAATTTTTCATATGAAATATCTTCAATTAAGATTGTTTTCGATTCACTTTTGATTAATGTAATGTAGAATAAGATATAAAGACATACTTAAAGAAATAAAAGAAATTAAACAAATGAAAAAAGAATCAATTCAACGGTTCGGAAAGAAATTTTATCATTGAAAGAAAAAGATTTGTTTTTTTGTATTAATTACCTGTGAGAAGAATAACATATAGTCGAGTTTTATATTTTTGATATTTAAGAAGAATATTTGCATCTTGGATTTGATCAGCATCGTATTCGTGTTCTTCTAACATAAATAAATTGTAATTCGAGACTTTTTTATAAAGCCAAGTAAATATTCGTTGAATTTTCATCGTCTACAAAATAATTATTCTCACAATTGAAATAGAAACACTCTAGGAGAAACAAATGTCAAACTGAAAGAGAAGTGATTGTGATTACTAATGAGGAGATTTTATTCTGGATAAATAAATTAACAAATGATAAAAATAGTCAGAGAGAAAGAAATAATTAGTTTTGTTGGATAAATAACAAATGTTCACTATTTTCACTTAAAATTTAGAAAATACAGAATGTTCTGAAAGTCATTGACCAAAGACAAATGGCAGAGATATTTAATTTTCTTTTTGGTGAACACTTTTCAGAACACCCTGTATTTCGTTTATTTCTTCTTTCCAATTCGAATAGATTCCATGCTTAACCATTCGAAAACTACACAAATAGTTTTAAAATAAAATGCATTTCAAAGTTAACAAAACAAATATTTAAACGGTTTCCTTTCTCGAGCATTTCCTATTCATCATAGATAAGAAAATATTTAATTATCTGGGAAGTTTTGTGTTTGCCAAATAGACGAACTTCTTTTCAAATCAATAAGTCATGTTTTCATTGAAATTTACTCAGCATATGTGATTTCATAAATACGAAAATTATTTACAGTAAAACCTATAGAGCTTCATAGTATGGATTGAAGCGAGGTTTATATGTTCAATATAGCAGTGGCGTAGCCAAGGGAAGGGCAAATGCCTATTTCATTTTCATATTTGCCCATTGAACTTTCCTAATTTTGTAATTTTTCTGCTTATTACCCAAGCAGACAAGAATTCGGGAAATCGCGTGTGTCACGCTTGAAAAGTGATACTTTTGAATGATTACACGCGTGTGAAAATAAGTGCCCGCATATACGCGGCACTAGGACAATTCGTCGACGGACAATTCGTCGACGGGCAATTCGCCGCCTGGACAATTCGTCGCCATCATAATATTATTAATTGGCAGCATTACATATGTAAATCAATTAATAAAAAAAGCTACACTATCACCAAAAATGTTGTTAGTGACACTAAGTGGAGCCTATCAATCTAATGGTACTGTGAACAGAAAAATACGAATTACTTGAAAACTAAATACAGAATGTNCTCTTCTCCCCAAAACCATCTCAGAATAACACTAATCCTATGATTGTATTTTCCGATATAGGTCTATAAAGCTATATGTGAATGAAAATCATGATTGAAATCAACAAAAATGTGATTTGACTTTGTTGCAGGAAAACGGATTTTCTTCTTACGCGTTTTTTGTTTGTGTCAGTGTCAAAAAAACATTTTTGTTGAAAGTCTTCCTGAATATCAAGAACAGGGTGAGTAGACTCATTGAGGGTCAGAGGTTTGAAATCAAATGTCAAAAGCACATTTTCGAAAATTTGGAAGAGCCGAAAGATACTACTTAGAGCGGGTTCAAGGATAGAAAAAGATCGTCTAGTGTGGTCAAGAGTTCATATAAAGGAAACACCAGCTCATGGCAGAAAATTTTAGCTTTCGAGAACTCTATGCTATGCTATGTAGACACTCTTGGGTCTTTGTATACTACACAAGCGATCAGATTTCGGCGTGATAAACCTAGACGGTGACGTGTAAGTTTAATAAAAATTGGTCGACTGACTATCATAGTTGATAAAGATGGATAATAAGCTGAACGACTAGAGCTGCTCTCGTAGGCACTTTGCCGTATGCCAATGAGAAAAGATTGAACAAGTTCAAGCTTGCATGTATGAGCAATTGTATGTCATTCCATAGAATTCACATTTGTGTTGATAAAAAAACATACGCTTTAGGATGAAACAGTTATCGTTGCTTTGAAATAGTGATTTTTATCAAGTAAGAGTAGCCAATGGATAAAGAACAAGGCATGTGGTAAGAATCCATCAAATTAGTATTTGTAAGACTCTAGATGAGAACAAGAAAAGTGCCTGAGAAGATTTTCCTGGGCGCATATTTCTATCTGTTGCGTCAAAACAACACTATAGGAAGTTTTATGTTTGATTAATTATTCAGGCGAGAGTCAGACGACACTATTTGTACAGTATATTATGAAAACTTTTAAATAGTCTCTGCGACACTATAAAATCCTGTTTTGTTTGAACTTGCTATGAGGTGAATTAAGAGGCGATAAGTTCGTTTTTCTAAGAAAAGAGTTATACTATGAACGCAGAGGAGTGAGGACATCATACGAGTCAACAATCATTAACGACTGTCCTTGATTGTTGAACACATCGTTCGCTGAGATGATGAAAACGAGGATGAGCAACATCCGTTTCCACCCAAATTTCTTCACTTTTATCAACCACATCTCGTTTTAATTTGGGCTCTACAAATTGACTAATGGCATAAAAAACATACGCTGATTTCAGGTTCAAATCTTTGTATTTGTTGCGAATTCGATACAAAATATTGGGTTGACATAAATGATGAAAATGAATTTTCTTTGTTTATTCTCATCAATTTATAGAAAGAGAACAAAGAAACGAATGTTATTGTGTATCAGATGACAAATAACAATCGAATCTATTTCGTTGAGTAACATATGTTCTGATTCGTCGAAAATGATTGTTTTGAACGATTCATTAGTCTTCGAGAGTTATTATGAAAGCGCATTTCAAAGAACTACAAAGTCTCGTCTGTTATTCAGTGGACATATTTATATGTATTTTCAAAAGATATCATTAGAATTGATATTGACATTCCCATGCGAGAGCTTATCAGTGATGCATTGTGCTCTCTCTCATAGAAAGAACGAGGGAAAAGGATTTATCCGCTACTTCGTCTGACGTCATTTCACAATAAAAATTACAAGAGAAATCTTTTGTTACTTTGCTTTTCGTCATCATCAATATATATAGAGACGTCCATTATATTGCGTCTTCATATACATTGTATCAATCAACATGACTAACAAATTCATCCCATCTCTTCACACATTACCAACAGAATTTGTCTATCGAATTTTGGATTTTCTTGATCCATATGACATTCTCGTTTCGGCTCATGATATTTTCACAAGACTTAATACAATAGTCCACACATACCATCGANACCATGGGGACTGCTGTTTGGCAAGCTCCATGCCGGTCACAAGTCCGGACAAAGGAGGAGTGTTGGACGGAAGGGGTGCAGATACCGCCGTCTGTAAAAAGAACAAGACGAAAGAAACCAACCATGAACGACAGCAGAGATAATCCATGCCGGCTCGGACGACGCCCGGTTAAACAAGGTCCGCGTCCTCTGTCGAGTAACCAGGACAGAGTCGAAAAATTGGCGACTGGAAAGCATTCATATACGACGAAAAACACGCAAAAACTAAAACTTGCCAAAAATACTCTGACAGTAGGAACATGGAATGTGCAGACATTATGGGCTGCAGGCAAGCTAGAACTCCTCAGAAACGAAATGAAACGATTCAGATACGATATAATTGGTATTTCAGAAGTCCGATGGACAGGAAAAGGTGAAACATCAAAAGGAGATTTCATCTGGTCAGGAGAAGAGTCCTCACATACGAGAGGTGTGGGGTTCTTACTAAGCATTCAAGCGAAAAAGGCACTAATAGGATACAATCCGGTTAGCTCACGAATAATTTCGGCACGATTCGATGCAGCACCGTTTAAAATCTCAGTAATACACGTATACGCACCAACTTCCTCATCTTCAGAAGAAGATATTGAAGCATTCTATAACGATATCGAGCAGGTATTATCAAAGACAGATAAAACAGATGTAATCATCTTGACAGGAGATTGGAATGCTAAAATTGGTAATGATAATACAGAATGGAAATCCGTGATGGGAAAATATGGCTATGGCGATAGAAACGAACGCGGAGAGCGCCTATTGGAATTTGCAACAGTGCACAATCTATACATATGTAATACAAGATTTGAGCATAAATCAAATCGAAAGTGGACTTGGGCATCACCAGATGGCATTCATAAGAGTATGATTGACTTGATACTCATCCAGAGAAGATGGAAGACCTCGGTCACGAACTGTAGAACGTTTCAGAGTGCAGACATAAGCTCAGATCACTCATTAGTGTTGTGCAATATTAACTTGAAACTTAAGAAACCGCACAACAAGTCACAAAAATGCTGCAAAGTTGATGTGAACCGATTAAGAGATGAGAAAATAAAGCAATCATATAGCACCGCTCTAATGGAACAGATTAAAGAAATAGAGCCAACATGTAGTCTGGAGGAACATGCCACAAAGATAGAGCAGGCTATCAAATCCACAGTAGAGGCAACTGTACCAACAAAAAGAATAGCTAAAAAANTTGAATTTCAAAACTCCATATCGCCATTATGAATCGAAACCAGCTCATCTCAACATTTCTCATAAACTAACACCAACAGAATTAAATACCGCATCTGAAATACGTCAAGCAGCGAATTCATTTCAAAAAGCAGCTCAAACCGAACTGAAACACTTTGGAAAAGTGAATCGTAAAACGTTTACCGCTTTACGTTCACTAGCAAGAAATAAATCAATTGTTATCAGTCGACCTGACAAAGGGCGTGGTGTAGTAATTATGAATCGAGCGGATTATCTTCGAAAGATGAACGTAATTCTTAGTGATCGTTCATCGTTTAAAATGATTGACAACGATCCAACATTAGAAAATGAGACAAATCTGATAAACATGCTGCTCTTGTTTAAAAAAGAAGGTTTCATCAATGCAGAAGAATTCAATTTGGCACGACCGACTGGTTCAAGACCGGCACGTTTGTATGGTTTACCTAAAATTCACAAATCTGATAAACCAGATTATCCACTTCGACCAGTTATGTCAGCAACAAAAACAGTCGGTTATGGTTTAGGTAAAATGTTAAAAAATCGTTTACATCAACTACGTGATAGTCCATATACCATTAAAAATACATTCGATTTTGTTTCGAAAATTAAAAATTCAAACCATGCAGACAAAAAGATGGTTTCCTTTGATGTAACAAGTCTTTTTACCAATGTGCCACTCGCATTCACCATCAATATAATACTTGACAAGTTGTATCCAACATGCTTATTCGTTTGTCAAAATAACTCAAGGAGTCAACTTTGTGAAAAATGCAGAAAAAGAAACGACTTTGCAGCTCTCTTAAGAGTAGCTACATCGGAAACTCACTTTATCTTCGATGGTAAAATGTATGTTCAACATAATGGTGTTGCAATGGGTGCACCTCTTGCTCCAATTATTGCCGACATCTTTATGTCCCATCTTGAAGAAAGTTTAATGGATCGACTTCGACAAAGTGGCGTTTGTGAATGGCATCGATACGTCGATGACACATTCGTGTTGTTGGAGCCATCAACTGTTGTTCAAGATGTGTTAAATGTTTTGAATAGCTTCCATCCTGATATCAAATTCACACACGAAGATGAAAAAGATCAACGACTTTCTTTTCTTGACGTGGAAGTCATTCGAACCACGGAAAGTGTAAAGTCCGAGATTCAGCAGATATCACTTACTCGTAACGTCTTCCAAACAACTGTTTTTCGGAAATCATCATTCACAGGACTCATGCTCAAATGGAATTCGTTTGTCCCAATACAATACAAAAAAGGTTCAGTAACTAGTTTAATTCAAAGAGCCATTAATGTATGTTCAACATATTCATTGTTGTCCGATGAATTCGAAAAAATACGTCAATTAAGTCTAAAAAACGGCTATCCATTATCATTTATACACACACAAATCGGTATTGGACTGTCTAGATATTTAAAGAGATCAAAACAAATTACATCAACACCTATCCTGGGCTGTGAGAAAAAGAAGTTGTACGTGGAAATTCCTTATAATGGCCAATCTACTGATTCATTCAAAAAGAAACTAACACAAATATCAGGAAAAACACGTCCTGATTTAGATGTTCGATTCTACACAAAACCACCACCATCAGTACAAACATATTTTAATTTAAAAGATCCAATACCAAAGCACTTACAAGCAGATATTGTTTATTCAGTCAACTGTAAGGACTGTGGCGATACGTACGTTGGGAAAACAATTAGACAACCAATTAGACGATTAAAAGAACACGGTGCACCAAAATCCATATTTCAAAACCCAACACCACATCAAGACCAACCAACATTACAATATCCCACTACACACACATCATCCACCACAATCGGACCTATTAAAAGACGACTGAGAGCTCGCCATGCACCGTACCCTAATCCAGCGACCATCAGACGTTCGCAAAGAATTCAAGCTCAGAATAATATGCCAACTGCCTCAAACCTNCGATTAAAAGAACACGGTGCACCAAAATCCATATTTCAAAACCCAACACCACATCAAGACCAACCAACATTACAATATCCCACTACACACACATCATCCACCACAATCGGACCTATTAAAAGACGACTGAGAGCTCGCCATGCACCGTACCCTAATCCAGCGACCATCAGACGTTCGCAAAGAATTCAAGCTCAGAATAATATGCCAACTGCCTCAAACCTTACCACAACAAACGTTACTACTATTTCGACCGACGATCAAAAGCGAAAGAGCTCTATCGAGCATCATCAAAGTCAGACCGGTCACGAAATGAACTGGGAAAACTTCAATATTGTATGCCATGAATCACACAAATACAAATTATTATTAAAAGAATCTTTAATTATCAAAGCATACAATACCGCACTTAAGAAAACAACCCATTCAGTTCCACTTATCATATATCCAGAAGGACTCCCATAGAATCAACTGCGCAAACCTTAAACATCCCAACAGCCAACCTAAACAAAGTAACTATTTCTTTTAACTAGCTAATATTCTCTAACATACGCATTCCATTGATATTATTAGCCTATCATCTATGTGTTGGTCGTGGAGATGGTGCTGAAGATGTCAATTGAACTTGACGAAACGTCCGAATTCAATAAAATCTTGTTCCTCGTTATCAAAATCACATCATAACAACCATTTCGTGTTAATTCTTTAAAATTAGTCTAAAATTTCAGTTTTTTCGTTTTGAATTTCTTGTCATATGATGTCACTAGACTATCATCTATGTGTTGGTCGTGGAGATGGTGCTGAAGATGTCAATTGAACTTGACGAAACGTCCGAATTCAATAAAATCTTGTTTCTCGTTATCAAAATCACATCATAACAACCATTTCGTGTTAACAAGCTTCATCCTCGGTACTGCAAACACATGAGCAGATAAGATCGTTTAGCTGAACTGTGCTCTTGAATTTGGAGTTCCGCGCCTAAAAACTGAAGAAAAGCTTTGCTTGATAGATATGACGTTGCTTACCTTAAGAAGTAGTGCCATGTTCTCATGGTAAATGCATAGACAAACCTCATGAGGTGATTCAGGTTTAACATCTTTCGGACGCAATGAAAAAAACTTCGATTTTCCGATATCTATTGAAGGATTTTCACTAATAAATAAGTAATACGCTTGTGATATTGTCATTTACATGAATCTTTTCCCAACGTAAGTTCCGTTAATGAGTACAACATCTTTTCGGTTAGGAGACGGTCGACTAATACCGTCGCGACGATAATAACTCAGAATCTTGTCAATAGTGACAAGATCTGTAGGTTCATTCCCTCGGAGAAACGTTGGAAATGCGAGTATACCATTCGTTTGTCGTAGTTCGATTGATGCGCGTGCCTGATGTTCAGTGCAATTGAAAAAGTCAACTATTTTATTACGACCCCAAGAGGCTGGAGCAATTGTAAGTATGCGGATTTGTTCGCTGTTGGAGCTTTCCTCGAATAAGGTCTGAATACCTTCAATTAATGTGTCTCAATCGCCTAATGAAAGCTTAGAACGATCAGTTTTTTTCGACACTTCACATTGATTGATGATACGATCATATAATTTCTTCATTTTATGATAAACATCGTCAATCTTTGCGCGAAGCACTTCAGTATGTCGCCGGAAAAAGCAAGAAAAACGTTTTATTAAATTTAGGTGATATTCACTTACATGTCAATAATTTTGGTAATATCAAGTAATTGAAAAATACTGTCGAGCGTTCTCTTGTAATTTGCTCGCTCTTCTCTAGCTGAATAAACGGAATCATTGTTTGTACCATCGCTTTCTTCGTCTTGAGTTTCTTCTCCACTCGTACTTGAAATGTCCATTGAATACTGACTATCAGTCTCTTCGTTTTGGTCATCATCGGTCTCCTTTTGTTCAAACTGGTATGAATAGATTTGTTCGAAACGATCGCGCTCGTGATAATAACACATTTTGCAGAGACGGTCACCTTGCTTTACAAATATCTTGCTCATTCCGATAGAACGTCGATAATAGGTTTGAATATTCCGTGCCAATTGATCAGATATAGGGTGATGACCTATTGGATGAGAAGGCCGTTGCCCAATTTTCGTATCATGCCGATGACGAGTAGGATGAGCACACCACTTCTTTCTTTGAAACATTCACGTACGATTAAATTTGTTTAGAATTCAATGTTTTACCAGAAATATTTAGGGGCAAAATCTCCTCCTACTCGTATTTTATGAAAACGCAAGCGAAATGTCCATCGAAAACTAACACTGGACCTCTCGGTTAAAGTAAAAATTCACTATTGGCTGGATATCCATATGATCCAATGGTCGTTCTGATCGAATCCTTAGATCGTGATAGGTCAATATGAAAATCCAATAGGAAAAACACGTTAAAAATCACTCAATTTTTTATCGCTTGACATTTTCATATATCGAAATGCCCCGAGAAACTGAATATGCCATCTTGTAGAGCAAGTTCTGCTCTATCTTATCCTATATGTCAGGTATTCTACGAATTCCAAAAAGTGCGGTTTTCTTTTACAAAAATGTGCATGACTTTGTAGTGTTTTTAGGCGCTATACGAGAAGATTTATGAGTTTGCATTTTTCCCAGGAGTATCCTGAGATCTGAAGCAATATTACTCCAAATACTACAAACAAAACTGAACAAAACTGGGCTATTGAGAGAACTTATAAGCATTGGAAGATGTACGAAAAATTACAGCTGAGAAAAAAGTTTGCGAAAATTTGATAGGAACAGATATACGAGATTTTGCACGAAAAATCGACCTTTCTAAAATATAGATGCTGCAATATTTTCTGAAATCTAAATTGGCGAAAATGATCACCTCATCGAGTTCTACAAACCCTGAAACTTTCACGTTGTTAGGAGATAATTTTGTATAACATGGTAGAAACCCCGTGGAAGCACCCTGTATTTATTGTTTTATGTATATGTAACGTTCTCCTTTTGAATATTTAACTACTCAGATACATAAGAGAAATGAATAGATATTTTCTTATTTATTAGAAGCAGAAGATTATTTTAGCCGCCGCCGCTGAATTAGGTTATATTCTGAGCCGCCGCCGAACTTTAAAAAATGTTGGAACTTAGAAGCCGCTGCCGCTGAAGGACTGCACGGCTTACACCTCTAGTAATGCACCTCAAACTATATCTACTGAACATTGATATGTTACTCAGACGCAGTAGATTTATGGACAAATATTGTACCACCCTCCTTTTTTTTCTTTCAAAGTTTATCAACCAATTGTCGGTTGTATGTAATTTTAGTTTGATGATATGGGAATGACAAGTAACGTTAAATCAAGAAGATTCCTGACTGAACTGTTCCGCATTGTTGGCATGCATTATTAATTGGTCGGAGAAGATTTAATTAAAAGAATGTCTCATTGCTGAATAAATAGTTTTAAGAGTCAAATATTATACAAAGGATAAATTTGCTACCAAGGGCATATATCCTTTTTTGAGTTAAAAATTGTCTGTTCATGAAGGGCGTCCAAACAGGTATGGCACTCCACCTGGCTCTCATTCAAGGGCGAAACTGAACTTACGAGGGAAAGGCACTGACTTAAAAATCGCTTTCGTTTTGAAGCCAGAGCAAGAACCCGTACAAGTACCACGCGTACACGTACTAGACTTGTACGTAGAGAAGGCGAACTTGGACTTTTACGTGTACGTGCATTCAAAGTACGAAAAAAAAAATTTTCGATATTGGTTAGCATGCAGTTCAAAAGATACACCTTACTTTATAGCCGACGATGCCAGCTGTTAAGAAGTCTATCATCACAAAGCAACATCTAGTGCCAACGGCCTATGTGTTTTCTAAATTTACTCAAGCTTGAAATATGGCCCATTTTTATCAGATTTTATTCGGAATAGTTGCCGATAATTGAATAATTTTAACTACTAACGATGCGGTCCTAACGAATGGTAAAACATGGCAATAGATAGACAAATGAAACGATTGCCGAACATTACAGTTTTAAACATTCTAGAGCCATCACATGGGTTTCTTGAAACAGTTTTGTGTTCGATCAATTGGGAGCAAATGCTATCAAGGGTCATTGCAAGCTTGTGACAGGCAGTAGTCTATAGGCACAGTTCATACTACTTGTAATAACATGACATTAGTATTTATGAGATGAAACCACATGAAGACTCGCCAGGGAACCATCTGAGATGAAACCTCCCGTTTGAGCTGATATTTTACCCATAGGTATAGTTCATAGAGTAGATAAAAATCCTAAAAGGATTCCTCCTCATAGTCTATTGTTGCTAAGATTTTGCATTCTGAAAATATGAAGAACTCTCATTCCTGTAGGTACTTGTAATTTATGCAACCAGCACAACCACCGAACTTTCTGAAATATCATATCGACGTCTCCCACAACCACCCACAGCTTGATGATTTATGTTCAGAATCGGCCGCACTCATCCACTTTATACGAGATTTAACGAATATAAATGTTCAACAAACAGAAAAAAATTANCGACTAGAACGACCTCAAAATGGACCTCCTCAACTTCTTTGGCCAGAAGTCCCAGGACTTCTACGAACGCGGGATCCTTTCTCTACCAGAGCGTTGGCAACAAGTCATAGATAGTAATGGAGCATACATTGTTGAAAGTTAGTTGTATTCTTGAAGTTAAAAAATGAAAATAGAATTTTCGAGAAAAACGCAAAAAATTTCTTACCAACCTAATAATAGGATATGGATTTTCTGATTTTGCCAACAATTAGTTATTTATTTTTAAATTCATTTTGTCCCAAAATCATATTCTCCAGCTTATAGTTTAAAATATTATTATTCATTGACTGTAAGTTATTCATTGTAATTGGCAATTGTTAAAAACCCAATAAGTATGTGTGATCATATTCTCCATGCGCAATAGACAAGTAAGGTACGTACAGACGATATCTATATAAGAAGATGAAAATATTATGTCCACACTGAAAAAAAATAAGGTACTCTACCAAACCCATCAAAAAGGTTTCGTAAGTATCGAAAGCTTGCAACTGTGTTGACGTGTTCAAAATAATGCTTTTCAAAAATCTACGAAACCAAAAAAGGATCGGTCGGCGGGCACACGTTCCGAACCCTCATCACGGAACCTTTTAAGGTTTCGTCACAAAATCCGAAACCTTCTTAGATTCGTATAAAACCATAGTGCGAAACCCTAAGGTTCTGTATTTTCTGACGAACCTTTATTAGGTGCGTGCGAAACTTAAAAAGGTTCCGTGATGAGAGTTCGGGACGTGTGCCTGCCGACCGATCCTTTTTTGGTTTCGTAGATTTTTGAAAAGCATTTTTTTGAACACGTCAACACAGTTGCAAGCTTTCGACACTTACAAAACCTTTTTGATGGGTTTGGTAGAGTACCTTATTTTTTTCAGTGCATTTGTAACCAGAAAGCTGTCGTAATAAAAGAACGACATTACTAATACTGGTTTATTGCATTAGTTTCGTTAAAACATACGTCATCCTCGAATAAATAAGCAGTAAGAAATTAGTAATACCTTATTCATATACATTGACTCATGATTGGAAAAATTTCATTCACCAACTATTATATCGGGAAAAAATATATCATGACTTTCGGCTATAGAAGCATGTGTATTTAAACGAAATAGATAAGTATTCATGTACAACATAAATCCAATGTATGCTATTTCACACATATAAGATTTACAATCCACAATCTTTGTTTTGACTCTTCATAATTTTCTTGCTACTATCTATGTGATTCAAGGTCATTTCATTTTTTATCTTTACTATCTTATTGCCAATTTTAGATTTTCATAAAGCTGCATAACTGTTAGATTGAAAAATTCAAATGAAAGCTAATACAAATGCGACAAAGGATGCTGATTCCTTTTCTTTATGGTATAACATCTTTCGTTTGTACCATTCGTACCAGTTTTGAATATACTCTAGGTCTCAATGGTTCTCTTGTTTCATTCCCACAACATTGGCTGGTGCAATATTGTTTCTAATCGCCACCACAATTGTACTTTCTCTCATTCCTGTATATCTTTCAACTAGAGCTGTACCAGCAAGAGGTAAATTTGTGCAAAGCGTGTGGATATAGTCTCACATAATTTATTTATTCAGATATTTACAGTTCGGTAATAGGCTTGAAATACGGCATTCCAAGAACTCTTATCTCAGATCTCAGTGAAAACACAATGGAACTACAGTTAGGAAGTATGAAGAATGATCGAGTCAAAATTCTTGAAGCTATTGTAAGTGAAATGTTTCGACAAGATTAAACTTGGGTATATATTGAGTAACTGGGTTTTAGCTTCAAAAGAAATTTCTAACGAGTCAAAAATTTCAGACTCTTCGTGTCAATCTCAACCAGGCAAGTGTTCAATCAACGAGTATCAGTGGCAATAGCCAAATAGTGTCTAACAAACAAGTTCGTCTTCCGATTTCATATAAGTTTTTTATGAATTCTTTATTTTTAATTCTTAGTTATTCCGTGCTCGTCGTCTTGCTAGTGGAGAGAATATCATCATCTATCAAGGACGCGAGAATTCTACTACACTCGATCAATTACAGATATCGTTTCAATTAGTACGTCGAGGAACTTTGACAAAGAGTTTGACATCGAGCGCTCTGATAAACATATTTGACCGGATTGAGTTCAATACTACAACATGTAAGTGCATATGAAGCTATATGGTTGTTTCCCATACATCGGTTTATGATTTTATATCACTGTTATAGTTCTTTCACTGTTCGGTACTGAATTAGAAGCCACGGTAAGTTGAAAATATTTCTTAAGGAATTTGCATTTTATTGGAATATTCAAACACTTCTGTTATATCGATAATAGTTATATCTAAAGAAGAGTGATACTTATAAATTCACATTAACAGGCAGAATGCAAATTCTGTTTCACGAAACAGGTTTTAAAGTTATAAATCAAACTGATAGGCTGTTTTCTGTAGTTCATTTTATAAAATTTAACAATATTTTTTGGATATTTTACTAGGAATTATTATCACTCGCAATTAACTATCACGTGAAGGACAATCAGATTATCAAACTTAACGGTGTTAACATTTTCGGTGAAAAAGATTATACTGGAAATGTTCAAAGTATATATGCCATTCAAACAGACAACGTTATTTACACAATACTAGATCGGAAAATCATTCGAATACAATCCATGATTGAAGCCCTGGTCTTTGATTACGATAATCTCGTAAACCAATACAAAGCGGTATTTATATCACAGGATAGTTCATATGTAATCCCAACTGTTTACGAAACGCCCAATATAACATTTACAACATCATTATTCGATTTTCCAATGAATGAAACGGTCCCAGATATTTTTACTGGTGTTCTCGTAGAATTGAGCAATAGGGTCAGCGGACGATGGATCACCGATGCTACTCTTGTGATGAACTATTTCGATACGGAAGATGGCAATAAAAGTGTGGTTATGTTGACTATGGGTGATGGACGATATTATGCACCTATCCCGACTAACGACGAATTATTCGACAAATATTTTGATCCAAAGAAGTTGTTTACAACGACAGCTCTTCAAAGTGGCTCGTGTTTACAATTATTTTTAGCTTATCCAATTGCTGATATCTGCTCACAAGTCCCAGATACTGGTAAATCATTTTGCACGCAAATTGTTCAAGAAATGACCACGGTTATTCCACATGTTTTACGTGTAATATCACAACGAACGTCATCATATCAATGGCATGCTCGAGTATTTGGTCAACCAAGCAATTTTGTGGCTGATATTTTTCTTCCAGGTCAAGAATTCGTAAGCATTCCTTTGAATACAAATAATCGAATCAATACTGTATCGAATGCTCGAATAACTCGAAATACTGATAGTGCTAATGCAGATAATCCAAATCCCAAAACGCTCAATAAATTTGCTGCTCAAGCAGGTGGTAGTCGAGGGCAGTGTAACGAGCAAACCATATCTGGAAGTAACACGCCTGATAATAGAATAATTGATATTGGTAAATCAAGGACGACTGTGAAGATTTCCTACCAAACGTACACGGTTAAAGATCAGATCGATGTTTATTACAAGAATCAACTAATCTTTTCAACTGGTTGTATTGGCACCAATGGAGATACTACTCTGTCTCTAAATGATAATCAAAGTACATTGAAAGTCCACGTGATTCCTAATTGTGCTGGTGATACACAAACTCAATGGTATTACTCAATTCAATGTCCGAAGGAATTAATATGTGAAGATAATATCTGCTATTGTGGATTGAATCGTGAAAAACCTCAGCAAATCGTACTACCTGCACACAACGGCTGTGGAGGAGATGGTGGTGGAGTTTTAAACACATTTATTGATGCAGGAGGTGGAACATGGGGATTTAGAAATGCCTGTAATACCCACGATGAATGCTATGACACATGCGGTATACGCAAAAGCAAGTGCGATGATGATTTTTTTCAAAATATGCGGAAGGTTTGCGATACATATTATAACTTCTTTTTCCCTCAAAAATATATGGATTGTGTAAAATGGGCGTCTGGATATTATTCAGCGGTAAATAAGCGTGGTACACAATTCTTTCTTTCAGCTCAAAAGAGCAAATGCACGTGCACTGCCAATTGATATAAAACTGATATTTACTAACTAAAAGGTATTCGATTCTATGCTCTTTGCTTTCAAACTTATTTGGATTGGTTTGGTGTGACTTAATTCTATGCCTGACTAGATTGTTTTCCTTTAATGTTAACTTTTATTTGTTTCTCTTTATGCTATTCTTGAAATTTGTTCGATTTATTTTCTTCTATTTAATAAAATAACTTTTGAGTGCGGCACACTCTAAGTAAGAAGAATAGTTTAATCAAAGTAGGAACATAAATACATATATGAGTATACAGACATCGATAATAAATTTGATCAATTAATACTGGGAACATATGTACACGCTCAGATGAGAAACACAAACATTTTCTAAAGCAGCTATAATGAGATTTCATTCACCTCAAAATTAAAATATTTTAAACTAGCTTATGTATATGCTATTTATGAATATTCGTTTACTTTTTATCCAGAAGATTATCGACAATCACCACATACATTTTATGTTATTGTTCGATGATTTATAAGGGTAAGTATACGCGAATCTGTTCACAGTCAAACGTCTAAAATGAAACAAGTAAAGTATTTCATAAACATGGTTGCTAAATCTAAATTTTAAAATCGGATTTATAAGAGTACGAACAAAGCGCATTTATAGGATATGGCTGTTGAGGTTTTGTTTCTGGGAAATTCCTGTGGAAATACTGTTTCTAATTTCCGTGTGTTTTTCTTGCAGGATATGCTGCAGTCCTGCATGGAATCTACAGGGAAAAGGCAAAAAAATCCGAGGATCGTTGAGGTTCTGGACAGATCTGTCGTCCGGGAGCGTCATCTTGGGTATTTATATATTAGCAGAAATAAAGTACAGTTAGGATTTTATGAAATAGTTATGGAGTTTTGAGTTTTATTCAACCAGAATAATTGTTAACACCTTCATCCATTGCCATATCCTTCACAGTCCCTTCGAGAGGTGCTCCCTCCACAATCATAGACCTTTGCATAGGGCTCTGTGCCTAGAACGCATTGCTTGCCTTTTATTTTACAGCAGCACGTCCAAGCAAAAAATCCGCAGCATTTATCTCGTTTGTCGGCTTCATGTTTTTTCCACGATTATTCATGAAATCTAAAAGTCTGTTCGCTCTTAATTCTAAATCACCTTCATTATTACAATCTCTTTCGTCCGAATTGAAAACAACTGCGCGTTGTGCCATTTGTATAATAATGAACAATAAACATAGACTTGAAATAATTCTCATTTGCATTTGTTGATCTAGTGTAAGTTGCAGAGAGTGAATTGTCGAGATCTAAAAATAATCAAATATAAGCTGAACCGTAAATTTGAGCGTAACAAGTAAGTAGCGAATCTCATTAAGCTTCGAATAGAAATATAACGTTATGTGTTTTGAGATGAAACACTTTTTATATATCGAGACTCGACATTGTTTTTTTGTTATTGTCGAAGAGAAAGTAGTTTTAATGAATGTCTAGTCGAAACGACTTATTAATTGACGAAAGATAAGCAGATAATTAATTAATTAATTTAGTATAATTGAGTAAAAAGACAGTGGGTGAAATTAGGACATACATGGGATGTAACACGTTTCGCTTTTCATGAAGGAGAATTTTCGTTAATCGAGAGAAGTCGGACGATTTCAGATCAAATATTGCAAACGTGACAGAGCAGTTAACAGTTACAAAACATTTTTCATGCTCATGTCTGCAAATCTACAATTTCAGCTCTAAATATCAGTGTGAAGCTAGCACGAAGGAGCTACCACGAAGAAACTGTGTGTAAGCTAAAAACTTTTTTCCAGAGTTTGTCCGGTTCATAAAACCTAGTCCATTCGATTCAGAATTTAATTCTGCATCGAATGGTGGTATTTTTATTCACCGGACAAACTTTGGAAAAANAGATTAAGAGTAATTACCAAAGATTTTACACGAGAAAGCACACGACATAATTGTGCAAATGTGCAACGATTAATTATTTATAGAGCAATTGTTGGTTCGAAAGATTATTATGATTATTTTCCTTTATTGTAAATTGTTTCCTTATACTTGAATAATAAAATACTATTAGAAGAAGAAATAAATGCTGAAAGAAACAGTTCAAATGTATATTGTTAAGAGAAATCAATTCTCTTTGTTCTGTTGTTGTCGCAGTTGACTTTCGAAATCAGCTAAAAAAAGAAAATAAACTATGTAAATTAAATTGAGATGTAAAGGAAGTTCTAACTACTGAACATGATCGAGATAATTAACAACATTACACGCAAAAAACGATGCTATACGCATGACTTTTATCCTTTCAGTTCTTATTTTGATGAATTACTCTACTTAACTCCTTCCTGAGTACATTTCGACATACTTTGATATTATCTTTCCTTCTCTCAATGGACGAGTATACAAGAGCTTGTGTTTTGTATCAGAGCGATGCGATTTATGAGAGGAAGAAATAAAAATGAAGGCGTAGTTTCATCAGCGCATACGTCTTTTACATTGAAAATTGTCGCATATCCTTTGTTTTTCAGTTTCGAAAGACAGTACAATAAATAATTCGAGTTTATAATCCAGAAGTGAAAACGTGTTGTTATTTTGTTTTTGGTGTAATAAAAAAGATGTATATCTTTAATCGATCGATACACATATCAATTCTATTTGCTTCCGTTAAGACATAGTATATAGCCTTTCTTCTTTCTTTCATTGTCTTATTTTTCTCACATACATTCACCTTAAATATTTCACTTCCGTACAAAGTTATCTTTTTTAAAATTTGCTTTCGCTTTTCTTTTATTCTCTCTTACTCTTTCTTTCTCTGCTATGTATACATTTATATCATATGTCTCTGTCTTCTTTTTTATATTCCTGATGTTCCTCAGTTCACATTAATTCTACACGTACAAATAGTGAACTCTGTTATGGTACAATAAAAATAAATAAAACAATTCTATTTTTCATTGATGAATTATACTTATAAGCTATAAGGTATATATGGTCATGTCATTATCTCCTCTTTTCTACTGATCTTATACTTTTTCTTATCTTCTCTTTGTATATATTCATATGGTTATTATTTGTTTCTTTCTCTTTTATCACTCTCTTGAGAAAAGAAAAGAAGAAGAATTTTTGAAATAAAAATATCGTTAATAATCATGGAAAAAGGTTTTCATTATAGTTAGTTTTGATAATTCTTTTTAGGTTTCTAATATTTAAATCTGATATTGAACAATTCATCAGTGTGAAGCTAGCACGAAGAAACTGTGTGTAAGCTAAAAGCTTTTTTCCAGAGTTTGTCCGGTTCATAAAACCTAGTCCATTCGATTCAGAATTTAATTCTGCATCGAATGGTGGTATTTTTATTCACCGGACAAACTTTGGAAAAAAGTTTAACCACATCTTTGTTTGCCTCATATAGGTCTATTTATGTTTCCGATAATTTTTCCAAAGTTTGTCCGGTGAATAAAAATACCACCATTCGATGCAGAATTAAATTCTGAATCGAATGGACTAGGTTTTATGAACCGGACAAACTCTGGAAAAAAGTTTTTAGCTTACACACAGTTTCTTCGTGGTAGCTCCTTCGTGCTAGCTTCACACTGATGCTCTAAATTTATCAGTTTGTGAATAATCTTATGCCTTTGTAATTTCAGAATGAACACGTTTATTTTGGTCTAGTTTTCTCATTCTAAACTCGTGCAGCGGTAATTATTCCTGCATGTAGATCAATTCCTACAGCGTATGAGAGTGACAGTGATCATTAGAAAGTGAATAAATGTTATTTATCAGCAGAAATAAAATATAATTAGAAGTTTATGACATAGGTATGTCATTTTGGATTTTCTTCAGCATTTCCATCCGCTGCTAGACCTTTCACAGTGCATTCGACCACTTTTTCCTTCACAAAGATAACGCTTCACGTAAGGTTCAGTACCCAGAACGCATTGTTGTCCACCCATTTTACAGCAGCACTTTGTACCGTACCATTTGCATCATGTGCCTCGTTTTTCTGTTCCAATCCTTTCTTCGCTATCTTTAAATAAATCAGTGATTCTGTTTGCTTTTAATGCCAAATTTTCTTCTTCATCCGATTCAAAGACAACTGCATTTTGAACCATTTGTATGGCAATGAAAAACAAACATAAACTTAAAATGATCTTCATTTGTATATGTCGGTATCTAGAAGATAATTAAAACAATATCTCATGAAACAAAGAAAAGTTCGGATTTTCACGGTGAAGAGTAAACGAAGTGTTTCATTAAAATTTCAATCAAAATAAAACCTTATGAGGTCCTTAACACGATATTCTTTATATATTAAGATTCGATGTTAGTTTTCGTATTACAATCAAGAAGGGAAACAACGATTTTTAATGAGTGTCGATTCGAAATAGCAGGTTGATTGACATACGATAAAGAGAAAAAATATTTTTGTCTTGAGACACGTCTATTCGAAATTGGATATTTATCAGTATCAATGAATCTATAAACAGGAGTGACTGTAATGATGACTGGTAGAATTGCCATCGAAATTGATGGGCTATAATAGAGTAAATCCTCTTTTACTATACTTTTCGATTCGTATAAAAAACATTCTGTGTGATTCCGCTATGCAAACTGTAAACAATAAACGGTTTTGTTGCTACAGCTTGCAAGAAACCAAATGTACTGACGATTTGTTCTCCTACAGCAGTTAATTCATAATTGATGACAATATCAAAGTATTAAAATATTTGGAAGAAACAGCAGACATCATGTCTTGATAATTTATTGAAAATGCGTTCGAATTCTCTAAATTTCAAGCTGAGGCCAGTGCTGTTTCTTCTATGTAACATGTTAGCGTCCAGTCGCTTTACTTTTCTCTCTCTCTCTCTCTCTCTCTCTCTCTCTCTCATGTTCTCTCTATATAACTAGGTGTGTGTGTGATTCGAACGGGGAGAATAAAAGTCACTCTCACGAGGGGAGCCACACTAACATTTTGGTGCCGTGACCCACTCTTCTTTTCTTTATTTCACCAAAAGAAGGAATAATTACTAGGGTTATTCGCTCATTCTTAATTGGAAAGAGCGACTTATTTCTCATCCGTAACGGAAAGAGAGTGAAGTGCAATTAGCAAATACCAGTTTAATTAAAATTATCAACGTATACCCAGACCAAAACCGTAAGATTTCTTGCATTTTGTCGAATTTTCTTTTTCGTTCTCTGTATAAACAAACGCACACGTCGCGGACGATATCCGACGAACAACAAAGAGAGCCGGCGCAAACTTACACCTATCGAATCGGCCTATACAAAAATGTCCTCACCAGCAATAAAAGACACAGCATCGAGAAATATCTCGGCGGACGAAATCCAAATGAATACAGCCTCGACGAACAAGATGACGAAATCCGATGCCTGGATCGATTTTACCTCGATGGAGCTCCAACAATTACATGCTAGTCAACAGGAAGCAATGAAGAAAATTAATGAGTTTTCCGGTGAATCTGAGGAATCGGACATTGATGAATGGTTATATGATTTAACGAATTTATTCTCGCTGGTGAAGTTACAAGACGAAACAAAAGTGCTGATGGCGATGGGAAAACTTACGGGATCAGCCTTACGATGGTATCAAGAAAATCTAACATCATTCGACAGTTGGAAAGAAGCCGAAGATGCATTACATAATCGGTTCCGGACATCAGCGTCGATTGGCCAGCTGATACAAGAATTTTTCCAACTTCGACAAGAAGGAGAACAATCGGTAACATCGTTCTACGACACAGTCATACGGAAATATCGACAACTCGGCAAATCAATCACCGGGAACCAAATTATCACAGTATTGCAAGCCGGCGTGAAACGTTCACTGAAAGAACATCTATTCCGTAATGAAGTGAACATGTCGAGACCGGACGAATGGCTGATATGGGTGAGAGATGACGAACGGGTGCAGCGACGAATTCAACAACGCATTACGCCACCACGAGCAGAAACACATAAACCATACTTCGAACCAACGTTACCGACAGCAGCCATCCAACAACAATCGTCAGCGAATCCACCATCAGGCAATCATACACGGAGATCATACCGTCGATATGAAAATCGAACACATACTGGTGGAAATACGCGAGCATATGAACACGACAGTCGAAATCAGAATAATAACCAGTATCAACGTCAACAAACTAACTCCAAACAAGCCACACGCAAACCCCGACCATGTCTCGTATGCAATCGGACCAACCATTCAACTATGGAATGTTTTCATAAGAAGAAAGACGGCTGTTTCAAATGTGGACAATCGAGTCATCGAATACGTGACTGTCCACAACATCATTTTTTCGAATAAGGGGGTCGGTTGA